AGGGGGGGGAGGCCGGGGCCCCGCAGGCCGGGGCGGCGCAGGGGGGCTCGGGCTGGTGCAGACACCAGCGCTGCCTCCCTAATCTCCCTCCCGCGGGCCCGGTGAAAGGGGAGTGGCGGAGCCCGGTGCGTTTGGTGGCCGTGTGCTGTTGCGCTGCCAAGGGGTGCTTCTCGGAGGGTATCAGTACTGCCCGCTCCGGGCTTTGGGGGTGAACTTCAGCTCTGACTGGTGCCTCACGAAACGCTTCTGCACCAAAGGAGCTCCAGAGGTGTTTACGGCGTGTGTTAGTCTAGCACTGAATAGAAAGAGAGAGAATTTACCACTCTTAATTTTTTAGTTTTAATATTAATGAATCACAGAATCATAGAATGGTATGGGTTGGAAGGGACCTTAAAGATCACCTTGTTCCAACCCCCCTGCCCTGGGCAGGGACACCTCCCACCAGCCCAGGTTGCTCCAAGCCCCGTCCAACCTGGCCTTGAACACATCTGGGGTGAAAAATAATATGCTTTCTCTAGAGGTAATTGGATTGTTACTAGACAAAAACTTGCTTTAGAACTTATTTGTAGTCTTTTGCAAGTGCTCTCACAGCTGTTAGCTCTGCTCCATGAGAATCTGTTTTTCTGGGTTTGATTCTTTTCCCAGATTTTCTTCCCCTGAAATGCGACGCGTGTGAGGAAGTCTTCTGTAAAGATCACATCCGTTACGATGACCACAAGTGTAGCTCTGCCTACAAGAAAGTAAGTTCCTATACATGAGTAGATAATTCACACTGCAGAATTGCTAAGTCATGTATAAAGGCTGCTCTGAAACTTGACCTGTGGTTTCAGTAACAGCGGATGGGAGAACCACAAGATGTTAATGATACTGTGGAATTTCAAATATGTAGAAATATAACATTTCAGAGGTCTGTGCTGCTAGATTCTGGTTTCTTACACCGCATCCTCCCAGAGGGGAGTGCTTTCTATTTTAAGTAATATATTGTGGCCTAAAAGTTCTGCAGCCTCAGTTCTTCAAGTTGAACTTGACAGAAGGTTGAAGGACAGCAAACATGAAACTACATAAGAAATAAATAGAATAAGTGGGGCCAAACTTTGTTCTCTGGCCTGTACTTGGGTTTTGAATGTTCAAGGATTGTAATTCCATAAAGCCTAGGAGCATATTTAAAGTCAACCTACCAAATAATGTTGCTACAACTGGATTTGGCAAAGCATGCCTTACTATTTTTTTTGAAAATGATTTGCAGTTACCTTTGTGAAGTGTACTTGTAAGAGCATTAGTAAATGAGTAGGACACAAACCGCTTGTGAAGACACTACTGTCACACATGGGTAAGAGAAGGGGAAGGACAGAAAAATAATTGGATGGGACTTCTAATCTGTGTTGTATGTTCCTAGAATGTGCAGGTTCCAGTGTGTCCGCTCTGTAATGCACCCGTCCCAATCCAGAAGGGGGAAATACCGGATATGGTGGTTGGAGCCCACATGGATAAGGACTGCAAATACAATCCAGCACAGCAAAAACAGAGGGTAAGGAAGCCGCTGTTGAAATCTAAACTGCCTGCCTAATGCTTGTGAAGTTAGGTGGTCTGACAGCAGAATGTGTAGAGGCTTGCTCTGTTTCATCTTAGTTCTAAGGGCGCTTGAGCATTCATGCTTCAGCGTGGTCGCTGCTTGGGAAGCTGGTCACAGAGAGCAAGCAAGTATTGCCGACTTCATGTCCTCTGTTATTTAGATCTTCACAAACAAGTGCTTAAAGCCAGGCTGCAAAAGGAAAGAGATGATGAAGTTAGTTTGTGAACAGTGCAGCGGCAACTTCTGCATCAAACATCGGCATCCTCTGGATCACGACTGTAAAGGGAGCAGCCATCCCACCTCCAAGGCAGGGTAAGCTGCATTTATGGTATTTTGAGCGCAAGCTGAAATTTCGGAGCTAGTGCCGGGGACTGGTGTGGAGCTCAGACCAGGAGGGAATTCTGTAAACTACCGGTCACTTCAATAAGCCAGCTGCTGTTTTGTCTGTATTTTGGGCCTAATTTCTGAACATCTGTGAGCCAAGGTAAAAGCTTGTGTCAAATGCCTTCCTTCAGCTCTTCCAGGCTTACCTACCTTGATAGCGTGGCTCTCAGTGTCTCTTAACTGTGAATAGACACTGGCCATCACAAGGACTCTTTGGGGTCTGGATCTCAATACTAGAATTCTAAAGTTTTTTTCCAGCACCTTGAAGTAACAAAGAACAAAATCAATTTCTTGCCAAGCAAAGTTTAAACTTAGTTTTAATAAAAATCTGTCTCTTGCAGGCAGATGTACCTTCCTTGCTCAGTGCAATAGGACGGTAGGACTCGTGTGACAGATGCAGATAATTAAACTGGATGGAAGAGTGAAACTAATGGCAGTGTGCATAGGAGGTGCTGAGCCTGGTTGTCTTTCTTCGTAGATATGCAGCTCTGATGAGAGCCTCTCAAACCGCCTTCAAGTCAACGGGAGCAATTGGAGTGCCATCTAATGGGAATCTTCCGCACAACAGGTATAAGCTGTAGACTAAGAAAAGACAAACAAGAGTGTTTAAAAATAGTCTTGTGTCAACACGGCATAGGAGTGCCACTGTCATACCACGAACTGCTCTAGAGTTGGTAGTTGACCTTTGATCAGTGTTGGGAATGTGGCAGAGGGGTTCTGACCGCACAGGTAAATCTTTACTTCTCCGTACTGTAGTCATTAAAATAGCTATATAGACACAAGCATTAGGACATCAAATGGTTGTAACAGCAGGCTGGCCTCCTACCTGCTCAGTGTGAGGCTTGGTCAAGTTCTGGAAAAACAGTATGTTATCAGAATGCTGAGGGAAGTGTAGCAAGCATCTGAATTAAAATAAATGACCCATGCCCTTCCCTGCCACGGTGTGTCTCTGTGTGACTGAAAGCTTTAGTCGTGTAACTCTTACAGTGCGTTCTTATGTCTTTCAGATGCAGATAGTAGAGGTTCTTCACATCTGGATTAGATCTCTGTCTACTTTAAAGTTAATTTTGTCTATGGGTCTTTAAAATTTTCTATGCAGTTAATTTATTTTTGTATCATAACACTTTATGCATTCAATAAACTGTCACCCTTTCCAAGTCATCTTTATTTGTTCCTGTATTTGGGATAAGAGCTGCAGTACTATGAAAAATACTTGATGAAGGAAACTGGGCAACGGTGGTAGGAAGAAGATTCAAATTAATAGGAAACACAGCCGGCTTTGCTTAGGTCCTGCTAAATCTGAACTGTGAGTTTCCGAAGATGAAAGTCTGAAATACAAGCTACTGTCATGTCCCAATCCTTCTGGAAATGAACGGGCACACAGTGCGGCATTCAGCTTGACAAACAGCATACATCAACATGAAGCCAGTTTTATATAAGCTGCCTTTTGGTTTCTGAATGTCATTGGGAGTACTTGATTTATAAAGCCATACCTGGCTTTTCTAAGCCCTCCCTAAGCAATGCACTGAAGGCTAGTGCTCACAGAAGCATGCATGTTATAATTCTTCCTAATTTATTGCCCTTTAGATAGAAACCTAGATTTGCATGGGTATTTTTTGCAGTTGGGGTAAAAAGGAAGCCAGAGAAAGTAGCGTTAACTGTGTCCCATGTGATGAGAATGGGGCCAAAATACAGCCTTGTCTAGGGAGGCTACTCTTGCTGTCTTCCCAAAAAGCTTAAACCAGTGAAGACATAACAGATAGGATCCATCTATTATCTCGATCAGCTCTCTTGGCTCTTTAAAACTGCGTGAATATCCAGCTGCTTAGCTTGAGGCCTGAAATATTGTAGGTTGATGAAATGGAAATGCGCCATTAATGAACAATGCTAATTCCCCAGCTGGGATCTTAGTAGACCTCTCATCCAGCTAATTGTGAGAAAAATGCCAAGGCTTACTGGTGATGTCAGGGGGTCAAGACCTCAATTTCATGTGTCATTGGAGCAATTCCTCTGCTCACTGGGGCTGGTGGGCTGGAGTGTTGGCTTAGGACTAAGTGAAGGGTAATTGCCGTCCCTGGAATCACCTGCAGCAGTGAGTGCCCGGTGCTGTTCTGCTGGGGTGGGAGGGTGAGCAGTTTGCTTAGCGGAGAATGCGCTGTTTCGTGACGTGGGGAAAAATCATCGTTGATAATACTGCACGAGATGTGAGCGTAAGCGCAGTTAAAGCATGTGCTCTGTAGGGCCTTGAGGTGCACTGCAGTTGTGCGAAGACTGTTGTGTGCCTCTCGTTTCTCTTAGGCTTAATCCTTAGAGTACAAAAGCTGCCTAAAGAGGAAATGGGGATTTATGGTCCTTCACAGGGATAGAGTGTAAACAATCAACCTGCTGACTTGTAGGCCTTTTATCAGAAAGGGCGGAGGTAATGTAATTTCCGGCAAACACACACACAAAAATATTTGTGCTATCCCATATTCGTGTTTGGCCCAATGGGATTTCTTCTCATCCAGGAGAAGTTTTTTGAGAATGATCAAAGCTCTGTGGAAGGCTGTAGTTGGCCAAGCTGAATATGTAGCATAGGTGTGAGTTACCACTGCTAATTCCATATGGTCTAATTTTACGCGATCGTGTAGTCAAAATTGTGATTTGACAGTATCTGTAGTACTGTGTTTAACCACAGGATGTCACAATAGGATATGTAATAAAACAATAATTATTTTAGGAATTCTAAACACAGGAAACATGCTTTCCCTATTCACATTGGAACAAAAGCTTAAATTACAACTCCAATTTTAGATACCACCACCTAGTGATTATCCTGCGTGCTCTAACGCTGTAACTCAGCCCTGGCGCATTGCTACAGTACTTCGACTTCTGTAATCTTTCTGTATGACATATAATCAGCCATGCGTTCCCCAACGATGCTGTGCACCCCACTGGTGGTACGGGATGGGGTTTCCAGTGGAGAGCAGAGGCAGGTGCTGCCTGTGGTGTGAGGACAGGGACCAGCGCCGAGAGGCTCTGCCCAGCCCAGCAGCGACGGGTCGGGGACACGATCGGCACCCTGTGGCGTGGGGAGGAGGTGTGACCCTGGTTGGGACACGAGAAGGAAGCAGAGGTGTAAGGTTTACATCTTCCCATCGGTGCCTGTAATGGCACGGGGAGCTTTTGCCACCAGCCAGCATCTCAGCTGCTACTGGGATCAAAGGAAATGGAAACAAAAACGCTGTTTCAGGTTGTCATGAAAAAAAAAAGCTCCATCTACGTGTTTGTTTTTCAGTAAATATTTTTGCCCTTAAATTACCAAGGAGAAATGGAAATGTTTGTGCACATGGTATTTATAGAAAATGAAAACATGGAAACCAATTTGTTCCCTGGAAACCCTGTCCTCAGAGATGTTTTCTCGTCCTCTCAAACCACAGCGTCCGCCTCTTCCCAAGCACATTCCCTCCGACTGGATCAGGGCAGCAGCTAACACTGTTTCAGACACGGAGCCTTTAGGATCTGCTGCCTAAAAGGGATCTCCACCGTTCTCCGGAGCTGCATCTCTCTGCTATAGCAGCTCGTGTGGCTCCATAGGGAGAGGCGTGGGCCGGTGGCACCCCGGCTTGTGTGGGGGCACTGGGGCTGGTGTCTCACCCAGTGCCCTTCGTGGGGAGTGAGGGGAGGGCCCTGCGAGAAACTGGGGGGTCCCTGTCGGGGCACGGGTCGATCGCTGTTGGGCCCTGGGGGATCCCTCTCAGGGCATGGATGGATCCCTGTTGGGGCACAGGGGGACCTCTGTCAGGCCGTGGGTCGATCCCTGTTGGGGTGCAGATGGATCCCCGCCAGGCACAAATCAATCCCTGAGGTCAGGCCACGGGTGGATCCCTGTCAGAACCCGGGTGGATCTCTGTCAGGCCCTGGGTGAAGCCCTGCTGGGGTGCGGGTGGATCCCCATCGCGCCGCGGGTGGATCCCCGTCGTGCCGCGGGTGGATCCCTGCCAGGCACGGGGCAATCCCTGAGGTCAGGCCGCGGGTGGATCCCTGTCAGAACCTGGGTGGATCCCCGTCGTGCCGTGGGTGCATCCCTGTCGGGGTGCGGGTGGATCCCTGAGGTCAGGCCGCGGGTGGATCCCTGTCGGGCCCGGCGGGAATCCGGCGCCCGGCGGGGATCACCCAGGCAACGGGGGGCGGGACAACCCCTGTGGCCCCGCCCCTCACACAGGAGGCGGGGGCTGATTCCGCAGCGGATCTTGGCGGCGC